TCTTCATTTTGTTCCCACTTCCGACTGCCTTTGCTTAATGCAACAGGTTTAGAGATTCTGAATCCCCTAGTTAGAAAGGAAAATTAAATTCATTTTTTCAGTTTACCTTGCAGGGTGGGAAAAAGCAAGTGAAAGTGCTGGTGAGCACTGGGCTGGATGGAGTTAAACAGGTTTAGTCAACAATTAGCTAAATGATTCTGAGTAGCTTTCCTATCCTGATTTTTGAGATAACATAATGGCATCCAGAAAGTAGCAAACTGTGAACTTAGTATAAATCCATCAACATAAAACTGCTAAGAAATCACTCCTAATCCAAGTGCAAGAAGCAGAACTCTCTTGAAATCCTTACCCTACTAATACTTACCATAAGCTCTGACTACATTCAGAACTCATTCCATGGTCACAATGTCATATAATACTTCAAAAAAAGTGAACAAAAAAAGAATAAAATTCTCATCTTGTCAGCAATAAAAGAAATTCTGATTAAGAAATGTCAAGAATGAAAGCATAGTCCTATAGAAAACCTAGATTTATTGTTTCGCTATTACTAAGACAAAGCCATTCTCATGAAGTACATCGAGAAGTTTATCCCAATTTCACTTGTTCTGTTACAGAAAATGACCCTGTAGGAGGCTGGAGACTGAAGGCTATAACCCGGTAGACTATAACAGACTGGAGTTTCACAGGCTAAGCATGGTGAAAGGAGAAGCCCAAGGCTGTGTGGCTGGATGATTTAGGAGAGACTCCCTAGAGATGCCTGAATTAATTAACCTGGGCCTCATTTAAATTAGTAAAAGATCTTCGTCCCTAAGGAAAACGAACAAAGAGGCTAAGATTTCCATGAAGTCTCGGTTTCTCCCCTTCCCCAGTGAGTTTCCTTCCACCTCCAGGCCCTTGTGCACGTTCACCATGCAGGCCTGCTAGCTTATAGCAGGTGCAGACGCAAAGAGAGGACCCACGGGCCCACTCTGAGGTGCTCAGATTCAGAAAGTTTAGGGGCCAACAATAAACTACAAATGCTCTTAGTTAATTCACCTTTGTTAATAAAGGTCATAAGTTTCTTTTGCTGGTGACAACTTACTATCACAGTTTAGTCTGTCTCAAGAAAAGAACTGGTTCACGTGAGTTTTGGAGAAGGAAAAAGTCTTTCATCAACCTCAACTCCACTATGTAGAGGCGCCAGATCGCCTACAGTTATGGGCAGAATCTGAAAAACAAAAAGATTTGACAGCATGTATCATGGTCATAGTAACGATTATTTACTGACTGTGCTATGCAGTGTCAGGGCATTGTTTGGTTACGAGTTGCTACTGAGGATGAGGGGAACTGAGTCAGTGTTTCCAAGCAGCCCACGAGGGCTGTCTTCCACGGCACCTCTGGATGGGTGTGACTTAGAAACCTTTTGACTAGGAAGCGTTTGTGCACGGCTGACCTTATTATTCTCCTCTACAGATGAGGACACAGCATCAGAGGGGTTATGCTTTGTTTAAAGGCGCAGTGGAGTTTGATTCCTCCGTTCATATAACAGCATCCCCATTTTGAAAATTTTAATGGTTGCATAAGCACTGTAATTATTCTTTAATTCCTCAGAGGCAAACAACACCTTAAATGATTGAAATCTTCAGACATGTTTAGCAATTCAGGTCAATTATTCAGATGAAAAACATGAATAAGGCTAAAGCTTATGAATAAAATCTGTCTAGCAGAAAATGAATAGAAAACAAACCCATAACTCATTAGAAAGTTTGTGACTACTTTGTATGGCTATTTCACCATTACAAAGTCCCCCTAAGGGTTCTCACCGCGGATATTCAGGGACATCCATTTGCGTAACCATTAATGGCACACCAAATGAGCTTCTCAAGGTCCTTTTAAACTAAAGTGGTTGGTGGTCTATTTTTCAAGATCAAATAAGATAACACCTTAGGTCCAAAACATGTTTTACAGTTTCAATAAAAGTTACTAAATAAACTGGATAAACCAAGATGTATAAAGAACTTAATGAGAAAGTAGATTTAGGTTGGCATCAAAAGATTTCCCATGAGGTAAAACAGTGAGGCAATTGATATATGGGACTGAGAACTGAAAATTAAAGATAAGAAAATTTCAGCAGTTTAAAAGAAAAATTAAAGAAAGAAAAAGAAAGTTCCTGGGATCTGAGCCCACCACTTTAGCCACTATCAGAGACAATGTTGACTGCAGAAGGTATGGTTACCGCAATCACGAAAGTAAATGTTGTGCAACTGAAAGTTAAATGCTTAGGGGGAAAAATATAAATAACCAAATTCTAAGAGGTTATTTTTTGATAGAGCTATTGGCAATGCCCAAGAGGAAAGGAAAGATCCAGTACCACAGATCATATTTAGTTTGGCAGCAATGTTATAGTCATAGTGCAATAATTTGGAAGGTATCTGGAAGTTAGAGATTCTGATATAAAATGGAACATGGGTACAGTAATTAAAACTTACAAGTGGCAAGACCAGGGTGCAGCTGCCCTAGCCAGAAAAAAAACAAAACCAAAAAAAAAAAAAACCCAAAAAAAAACTACAAAAGGAGGAAAAGCCAATAACCGCTTCAGATTCAGAATTAAAAACTGTACCACAACAGAAGAGAAGGCAATTTGAAACATTTATCACAGCAGGGAATAAAAAGGGACAGTAGTGGAAGAATCCAATCAAAATATACGAATCCTTATGAGAATGTGTACACCCACTGCCAGGGAGTCAGTTCCCACTCATAGGGATCCGATACAGGTTTCCAAGGCTATACATTTTCTTAGGAGCAGACAGCCTTTTCTTCCTTCCAAGGAGTGGCTGGTGGGTTTGAACTGCTGTCCTTCCAGTTATTAATCCACCAGGGCTCCTCTGAGGAGAATATGTAGAGGAGAGAATAATGGCAGTGAGTTCCTATGTGGAACAAGAAAAGCAGGCAGGCAATACCTTGGGAAATAGTGTGCAAAACATCTTTGCACACCAGGACTTTGTCCCCATTATTTGCAGAAGAAGGGAAACCAACACAAGATTATGATTAAAGGCTTAAGCTCAGTTTGAAATTACTTCTGCTTCCTCCCTAAACTGAAAGGCAGGGAGTTAGAGCAAATCCTGCTTTGTGCTCTCTGATGAATACAGATGAGTCACGAGTCAAGTAGGGCATGCCCTCAGGGTCTGCTGCTTCCACCGAACCTCGGGCTCAGAGCATTCTCCTAAGCTCACTGAGACAGGTCTCTGCCTTATTCTTCTATTTCCTATCAATGTCTGGTGCAATGCACTTGCCCAGTAAATGTTACATTAAACCAAATAATTACCATGTCTGCAGACCTTCATTTTAAAGGAAGTTTAGAAGAAGCAAAAACTGGTTAGTAATTTAAATAAAATAATACTTGTCAATAATTTAAGAAATGGATAACTTGTCTTTTTCCAAACTGCTAGATACACAGAGCCCTCTTCAATTACTAAAATAAAAATTATTTCACATTCAATGATATTCACCTTAAAGCCATTTTCAGTGATCAACATCTGCATCCTCAAATTGGCCAGCAACTGTTGGTGTAGCATCTATCTCCATCCCATCTGAAGAAACAATTAGAGAGACAGAGATTCAATTTGTATTTCAAGCAGAAGGACGTTAGTGCCCTCTGTTGGCAAGAGATGCTGAGTCTTACCACCCCACCTCACCCCCATTAAAAAAATTAAAATATCAGGGGACAAACTATTAAAGGAAATGCTCTCCAAATTAAAAACAATTTTTTTAAGAAAGAAAAGGGTACTTGTGGACTTAAACCAGTTAAAACCAGCCTATACGTCTAGTTGGTAGGTTCTCTATCTCAACCCTTGAGCACTAGGTAGAGGTTTCTAATGCCTTAGGCATCAAATGTTCTTTCCTCACAGATCTAAGTATTTATTGTGACTTTTGCTCTCTTAGCTTACTTCAAAAAATAAAAACAGACAAAAATTTTTTTCCTGACAAAACTCTTACAAAATCAGCAGTGTAGTCTTTTTCTATTTTTCTCATCTCCTTAAAAAAAGTCAGAGAGAAGAAGAAATAAAAGCCCTTTACAAAAAGTTGTCTACAGCTGCTCTCTTTGCTTATATTCCTCATACCCCTCAGTTTTAGCGGTCACTACAAAGTGGCTTCTGCCCCGAGACCCCTGGCATCCAATCCCTGGACATCACAGCATGGCATACAAACCAAACACATTGTCTTTCCAACTAAAATCTGCTTTTTCCACACAGGTCCCATCTCTAAAACATAACCAAACTAAAATACATCAATGGCTTCCCAATGACCATGGGATGAAGTTCAAATTCTTTAACATAGCTTCCAACTTCTGGCTCCAGCTCAGCACTCCAATGTTACCAGTTGCTTTAAGTACCAGAGCCTCAAACTGGTTCATTCCAGTTTGAACCCTTGCTGAAATTTGCATTACCTCAGATATACTGAATTGGTATCTACATTTTAACATGATAAATATCTTTACCTAAGGACCTATAATCATCTATACATAAATGGTCTGTAAATATCATCTGGGGAGTTGGTTAAAATATAGATTCTGATTAAGCGTAACTGGGGTGGAAATGCAAATTCTTAGCAAGGGGTTGACCTGGAATGACCCTGTTCAAAGCTTAGTATTATAACCAACCTTTCGCATTTAAAGTTGTAGCCATATCGAACAACTTTCAGTTCCCTAAAGCGATTCAAGCTCTTGATCCTTTGTACTTGGCTATCCTCCTGCTTGCCTGTGTGCAATCCCTCTCACCTGGGTGAATTCTTCCTTTAGACCTTCACTTAGATGCCACTCACTCCAGGCTATACAGGCTGGGTGGGCAGAGTCCCATGTACTCATTGCTACAGTTAGTAAATAAATACCTTACTAATTTCTTTTTCCTCTCCACTAGCATGCCACTGATATGAAGAACTGTTGTACTCCCTGTGCTTAACACAGGGGCTCAGTAAGCTCCTCTTACGTAAATAAGCACAGGAAGCACTCAGATGCCATTGGTAGATGGGACTTCAGAGGACAGCAGATAGTTATGGGCTGAAAAGGTTTCCTATAGAGGCAATTCTCAATATGCTAATGAGGCTTATGAACAAAAGCCACCCTATCTCACTTTAGTAACAAGTTCACAAGATGTAATAAGATACATTATACAAGAAGTGCTTCTGTGATTTCTCTGTTTCAGAGTTTTCAGAAGCACCCATATGTCTCTCCACAACTTCCCTGTTGTCCAAGGGACATCTGAATGTTTACAAATAAAAGGAAAACAGAACTCTCACCTTCGAAATCTCTTATCGAGTCTTCGGTGCGGACTCCGGCCATGTTATACTGACTGCTCACAGACTGAGAAAGCATTCCTTCTAACCTCTCCAATGTGGCTTGGCCTTCTGCTGTTAAATGGGATAATCCTTCTTCATAGGTATAAAATGTAGGAATGTCCCCCTGCCCTTGTTCTAAACAAACAAAAAACTTCTTAAGCCATTATAGAAAAATGAGAAAACACCACCAATGAAAAGGATATTCAACGCCCTTGCACAGCATCACTGTTTACTTCTCAACAATCACTTAACACACACATACAGGCCACATACAGAGAGCCAAAGAAAAGCCTGCTGTGATGCGAAAGGAATCTTCTATATAATGTGTCTATCAACAGAATTCCCACAGAACCATGGCCAAGGATTAGAAGGAAAAGGGGGTGTTCCTGAGGTCAGGGCTCCAATATTATCCTAAGTTAAGAATTTTACACATGAATGCAAACCAAGTGGACAGTAATTTGTACTGAAAGGTCTATTTCTTGATTAGAATACATGCTCTCTCAGAAAAGCAGAACCTGGAAATACAAGGAGGATAAACAACATGTACAATTAAAATAGCTCAAGTCTATCAGCACAGACCTCAGTCCAAAAACGAATCTGTCTCTGGACAGAAGTAGGCACATATCGGGGAAAGGGTTAGGATAAACCAAGTGCTATGTAGAGGACTCGAGGAGAACAGGAAAGAAAAGCGCAGGGATCGGAAGAGAAGCCTGTCCCAGCATGCAACTGCATTCTAGTAAAAGGAAATTACCTCGACAGTGAGCTGTTTGAAGGAGAGTGCTACAAAAAAATAAGAAAACTGCAGATTCTTGAAGAAAGGAGAGGGTTTGCTCTCTGGTAGTGGCTGCCTCAATTTAAAAGATTCTTCTGAAAACCATTTCCCTATTGGCCATATTCATTCCTTCTACTTGTCTCTACTCATATGCTCCCTCTAATATAAATTTTTAACTCTCAAACTTAGGGAATCCATAAAATTCCCCAATCTATCTGTTCCAAAGGACTCAGTCACAGTAACAAAATTTTAGATATTATATAGGGCAACAAAGAGTTATATCCCCATAATCTTATCTCTAGTAAACATAGGTGCTTAAAGTGAAACACTTGAAAAACAAAATGCACCCTAAAAGTTCATTTCTTCCATTTTTAAAAAACATCATTTTATTGGGGACTTGTACAGCTCTTATCACAATCCATACATTGTGTCAAGCACATTTGTACATATGCTGCCATCATCACTCTCAAAACATTTGCTTTCTACTTGAGCCCTTGGTATCAGCTCATCCCACCCCCTGAAAAGTAATTTCACTCACCATGAGCTTCTACATCATACTCTTCTCCATCATAATCATCTGAATCTTCATCCTCAGGATCTGGATGCAAAGCTTGGCATTCACACATTGCGGCGAACATTGCTTCTACTGAGCAAAGAAATGATATTGTAACCAGTACTTTCTCAGGTAAATTAAAACTTTAATGAGGTCATCAGTGCATAAAAACTTAATGGGTAGACACAAAGTATACTAGAGTCACAGTGTTTAGGCCCAACTCAACCCAGTGCCATCAAGGTTGCGCTAGACTTACAATGACCTTATTTGGAATTTCAGAAGCTTTACCAATGTTTACGGGAGCAGACAGCCTCATCTTTTCTGCAGAATGCCTGGTGGGTTTGAACTACCAACCTTGTGGTGAGAAGTCCAACACTCACCAGACACAATAATTATAAAACCTGCTATATTCCAAGTAGGATTGCTCTGTAATGTGCTTCAAGGCAAGGGGCGAGTAAGAGAGTCTAACTGAAGATATTACTGAGATCTTTTTAAGGCTGGTCAGAGGCCTGGTAAGACTGCTACCATCAGAATGAAGACTCTTCTAGTTTGGGATTACTGTAATACCTCCGCCATCCATCTAGCGAGGCCAAGAGCACAAACTGCCATTGACAGCGTACACCAGGCAACACAACGTTTACTATACTCTCACAACACTCACAACCTTGGACACTCATGATATCACAGAAGCTCAAGGAAAAACGCTACAATGGAGGTCACGTAGGAAAGGTAATTATGCATGCATGCACACACAGGAGCCATTGGGGAGAACACAATATGCAGAGGGAGAAAACCCCTCCTTCGGAACACTCACAGGCTGACTTATCACTAGGCACGAATCGAAATTCAGCAATAGGTTCAACATCATCGTCACTGTCTTCCTCGTCTTCATCCACAGATTCTTTTGATTCATCTAGAACGGGAATAAAAACAACTTTTACATGAAGCCACTCATTTGATGCCTTTAAAGGATGCTTATTAATATACCTAAGTACTACAATACAATCTTTACTTCCAAATATAAAACGGTGATTTTAGAGCTAAAAGAAATAGTAGAGTTCAGTCATGCTGCTTCCCTGAACCCTAGGGGATTCCAGAGTTCACAGAGGATTAATCTCCCTTACCATAACCCTAAGAAACTAGTTACTGTTGCTATAGATTTACCTATCCTGGATTTCATATACAGAAAATCATACAAAACAAGAAATCCTACCAACGTAACAAAATAAAGCAGAATTAGAGAGAAAATATAACCATCACTCATCATCTCATGCTACATCACAGTAGTGGTTGCCACAACTTAAGTCTCGTTAAAGCTTTCTAAAATTTCAACGAAGGGAATAATTTTTTAGTTATTTTTAATTAAAATAGCTTAACTATGCGATGGCAATCCATGTTAAAGAGGTCACCAGGTAGCACTGCTTGCCTGCTGTGTACCTGCAATCCTTTCTGTTCCCCAGAGCATCTTCAGCTTCCCTCACTGCCTTTCTATAGCCTTCTCCTGCCCCTGGGCATCCTCCAAAGAGGGAGTTCCTTTCCTCATGCCACCTTCGGACTAGGTCCAAGAAGGTAAACTGAGAAGCTGTCATAATGGAAGTCCATATCCAAGGAAGACTCTCCTGCGTTTCATGGAGGGAAGCATGGAATCGGGTGTAATACTATGACACCAACTGACATGCACACTTCAAGATGGAAAATATTAAAGTGTGTAATTTGTATCTCAATAAAGTGTTTTAAAAATGGGCAATATCAAGTTTTTATGTGACACCTAACATGTTTCTCATTAGGGATTCTGACAACTCATGGCTGACAGCCTAAAGGAAAAAAAGTTGTTTTATTTTTAAAACTCTTTATTTCCCTCTCTTCTAACAACTTCACTAGATCTTTATGTGTCTTTGAGGTTATCTTCAACAGAAAAATTGGGAATCCAGAACCCAAAGTTTCTCAACCTTGGCACTACCACCATTTTAGACAAGATTTTTTTTTGCAGGGGTGGGGTGGGGCGGGAGGATGTTGGGTGGGTTGTCCTGTGCATTATTGGATATTTAGTGCCATGTCTGGCCAGGCCCACTAGACACCAGACCCTGCCCCTGTCCAAGTCAACAATAATCAAAACTATCACTGCTAAATGTACCCTGGAGAAAAATACCCCTGGTTTCTTGCTGCTGAAACAGAGCAAAAAGGTTCTATCCTAAACTCCAAAAAGAGTATACTGATCTAACTCTCTAAGAGTGCCATATATTTATAAAGAAAAATAGTTAAACCTAAGAGGAAAACTTAATAATAAGTGTTTATAATAACTGAAAAAAATCTAAGTGTAAACACATGGAAAATAAAAGGCAAATACAAAAATGTGAATGGTAAGACCCCTCAAATGTGTCTTGGGGACTCCAAGGTCAATGACATAACACAAAGCCAGTATATGATATCCTACTTAGTAAGTAGTGACTAGGGTTTTAAAAGCTTGTGAATAGCCACCTAAAGTGCAACGATTAGTTTCTACTTTTCCTCTGGAGGAAAGAATAACAATGAAAACCAAAAGACATATGGAAACAGTTCAACGGACCACACAAACATCAATACCCAGACCTTGAGCCTAGACCTACATGGTGCTCATCTACCACTACCAACTGCTCTGAATTGGAATATATTAGAAGGACCAGATAGAGTAGGAGACAAATGTGGAATAAAACTCATAATCATAAAAGATTTCAGGCTTCAAAACCCAGCAATCCCTACTGGGCGTATACCCAGGAAAGGCAAGAAACAAACCACGGCCAGACATCTGTGTTCCAACGTTCATTGCGGCACAGTTCACAACCCCAAGGATTTGGAAGCAACCCAAATTTCCATCAACTGACGAATGGATTAAAAACTGTGCTACATACATACAATGGAGTACTACAAGTCCCTAAAAAGCAGTGAAACACATCACTGCAGGGGAAGAACAGGGAGAAATTAGGCTAAGCGAATTAAGCCAAGTATAAAATGACAAGTGGAAGTCCAATGAGCTAAGCTTAGAAGTCCAATGAGCTAAGCTTAAAAATCCAAAAGTGGCATAGGAGAAAAGCTACTATATACATACATTCCTGGGTTGAGGTCCAAGAACTGTGGCAGGGCCCAGACCCAATCCAGGGGGGATACATATGGCAGCCAACTTAAAAAAGGAGGGAAAAATAAAGAAAAAGAGAAAAAGACAGGGGTGGCGGGGGAACAGGACACAAACCCACCCAAAGGGAGGATATTGCTTATATCTCCACAGGAGAGGGAGAGAGACCAGACTTCAGGCCAGTGTGCCAAGATGTGAATGCAACATACCATGGTGCATGAAGCAGGGAGCCAATAGAGAGGTCTGTGGGGCTAGACCCAATCCCAACACATAGACTCTCCCCACCCGCACCCCCAGAAGAATGTACTTCAGAGGACAGCACTGAAGCTACAGATCAGGGAGAGGAGTGAGTCTGATAAGAGTACACAGGAGCAAACAAAGAGGGAAGGAGAGAGAGGGGAACACATCCTAACCCACCAAGTCCCGAGAACAATATTTCTGCGCAGAGCAGCCAATGCAGAGTGTTCCATAAGGTCGGCCCCTCATTCCTCACTGACCCATAGCGCTATGGAGGACAACACTGGAGACATTTAGTGCAGGAACTGTGTTTGATCTGACCCCAACACACGGGCAAAACACTAAGGCCGTGCAATAGAACAGCAAGGAGAGCAAAACAATGACATCCCTGGGGAATACAAAAAATCGACTTTGGGGTCACAGCATGGCACCCCATCAAACTCGACTGGAAAACACTCCTAAAGGTCAACAGACAGACCTGGAACTATTGATAGGCTTTTTTTGTGTGTGTGATTTTTGTGTGTGTGTGGTTGTTGTTTGATTTTTGTGCTTATTATCTCTGTATGTCTATCTAAAAAAGACAGGTGAGATAAACAATCTGGAGAAAACAAGGGGACCCACAGTTCCCAGGGGACATGGGGGGGGGGGGAGTTAGTTTCAACTAACCCAGGGACAAGGGAACAAGTGATCTAAAATCAATGGCAAGGAGGGTGTAGGAGGACTGGTAGGGCTTGATCAAGGGCAATATAATCGAGAGGAATTACTGAAACCCAAATGAAGGCTGAACATGATAGTGGGACAAGAGGAAAGTAAAAGGAAATAGAGGAAAGAACTAGGAGGTAACGAGCATTTATAGAGGTCTAAATACAGCCATGTACATATGTAAATATATATATGACAATGGGGAAATAGATCTATGTGCATGTATTTATAGGTTTAGTATTAAGGTAGCAGATGGACGCTGGGCCTCTACACTAGTACTCCCTCAATGCAAGAACACTTTTTCTATTAACTTGGCATTCCATGATGCTCACCGAAGACAAAGCGGGTTCATAAGCAAATGTGGTGAAGAAAGCTGATGGTGCCCAGCTATCAAATGATAAAAGCATCTGGGGTCTGTCTTAAAGGCTTGAAGATAACCAAGTGGCCATCTAGCTGAGAAGCAACAAAGTATACATGGAAGAAGCAAAGTAGCCTGTGTGACCATGATGTGTCGATAAGATCAGGTATCAAAGAACAAAAAATCATATCATTGTGAATGAGGAGAGTGTAGAATGGAGACCCAAAGACCATCTGTAGGCAACTGGACATCCCCTTACAGAAGGGTTGCAGGGAGGAGACAAGCCAGTCAGGGTGCAGTACAGCACCAATGAAACACACCTTTTTTCCTCTGGTTCTTTAATGCTTCCTCACCCCCACTATCATGACCTTAATTGTACCTTACAAATCTGGCTAGACCAGAGCATGTACACTGGAACAGATAAGAGCTGAAAACACAGGGAATTCAGGATAGATAAATCCCTCAGGATCAATAATGAAAGTAGTTATACCAGGAGAGTAAGGGGAAGGTGAGGGGAGAAAGGAGGAACCAATTACAATGATCTACATATAACACTCTCCCAGGGGGACAGACAACAGAAAAGTAAGTGAAGGGAGACATCAGTGTAACACACAGAAGAAAAAAAAAGATAAATTATCAAGGGTTCATGGGGGGTGTTGGGGGGAATGAACTGATACCAAGGGCTCAAGTAGAAAGAAAATGTTTTGAAAATGACGATGGCAACATATGTACAACTGTGCTTGACACAATGGATGGATGGATGGATGGATGGATGGATGGATGGATTCTGATAAGAGCTATAACAGCCCCCAATAAAATGATATACAATTTTAAAAAATGTTCAGGCTTATTTGTTGGATAGTGGCTACAGACCTCCCAAGACTAGGCTTTATTAGTCCAGGTAGACTTGAGAAACAAATCCAGAGACTCATATATGTATAAGAGTTTTATGTACAAGACCAATTGTATATTGAGAACCATCCCAGCCCCGTCCACAGATCAAGTCGTTAAGCCTGACATTAGCCCATATGTCCGATCCTGATCTATAAAGTCCTCTTCAGACTCACGCAACACATGCAATGATGCCAAATGCAGGAAAATCACAGGACAGTGAGTAGAAAGCCTTGTGGATCCAGTGGTGGTAGAGGCATCTCAGCAATGGCAGGGGTCTCCACATGTCTTGTCAGCAAGCATGTCTCACAGGGAGTGAGTCTGTCCCCTGCCTCCAGTGAGCTATTTATCTCCTTAGCATCTCAGAATGAGGTCATCAAGCTGCGACCTGATTGACAGGCTAAGTAAACTCCACCCCATTCACTCTTAAATCTCAAATTGACAATCGATTATGGAACTACCATACTAGGCCATTTGTCCCCCTACACAATGTTAGAATAAACAGCTAAGATCAAAAGGGCAGCATTTATCCAAGAGCAAAGTACGGAGAATTAGGAAAAGAGAAGGAATGGAAACTGGAAACAGGGAGGAAGTGGGATAAATGATGGCACACAGAGGGGATTGCAACATAGGAATTAAAGCAAAATGCATATGAACTGCTGAATGCAAAACTGATGATGCGCTCTGTAAACCTTCACCTAATTCATATTGAAATGTTAAATATTGAATATAAAAGAACTTAAAGTGTGAAATTAGTTTACTGTACTAGTTGAACTTCAATTATTATCCAAAATGGATCAATGATTTGAGTATCACATTATTTTCAAAGGCTGTTCTATATATGTGTGTGTGTGTGTGTGTGTGTGTGTGTATAAAATTTGTACCAAAGAAGACTCAAAGTTAACTTGCAGCATACATACCTCCAAATTTTGCATTCACCATAACATACAAATGTTCTTGCGGATAAGCATTTAGGTCTCGGGACACAGCATGTAAACTAATAGCAGGGTATTCCAATGAGAATCCTAATCCAGAGCCATCCAACCAAGACAGGCGGCTGAAAAACATATTTAAAGCAATTATTCTTTTTAGAAATGACAGTCTAATTCAATATCCTAAGATTCACAAAGGCTAAGTTTAGCGTGAATATTTTTATATGTGAATTGAGTCAAACTTACCGTTTAGACATACAGGAACTAAATTTTCTTAACAACCAAATCTGTGGATTCTGAGCTTGCACTTAATTAAATACTCTAAAACTAGAACAGTAAGTTCTCACAATGTGGCCTCGCTCAGTACTTATCCCCCTGAAGATCAATGAAGATATGGGTACTCTAACTAAGTGTGAAATCAGATTACACTGACTATTAGAATAGCATCTGGGGTCATAAAATAAGCAGTCATGTAAGTCCACACAGAAGAAGCATACCAGTCTATGTGATCCAAGGATTGTAAATGATAAAATCCAAGATTAGAGGAGAGAATTGTATTAATGCTTAAATTCCGAGCACCAGTTTGAAGAAGGCTATGGATGATAGTGAAAACCCAAAATCCATCTGCAGAGTCCTCACAAGGATTAAACCTCTATTGAATTCCCTCAGACCTTGCCTAGAATCACGAATAACCTTGCCCTTAGACAAAGTACATTGGAAAGTAAACTAATAGATATGATTAGGTTAAAATTTAACTACATATCATTTGTTTTCCCTTTTGGCCTATTCTTAATTCGTCCTATTTTCTGCTTTCATTTGAACTGAGGTTTTTCTATAGTTTATTTTGTTGTAATTGTTAGGGTTTTTCTTTGTATGAGTTGCTTTATATGAATCCCAAGACAGTTAAGTCTATATAGGCAGTAACTAGATGAATAGATTCTTAAGATTGTAATAGGGGAGGTTGGGAAAAAATGGAGAACTAATAACAATGAACACAAGAATGAAGAAGAGGTTCTAAAATTGAGGTGGTGATAACAAAACCCTTTTTAATACATTTATATCATTGAACTGGATGATATGTGAACTATCTCATTTAACTCATTTTTTAAGTAAAGGACAGCAAAACTGAGCTCTAAGTGAAGTAGTGTTAATCCTCCAAGTTAGTATAACAGTGGACAACAAACACACAAACATAGGCACAAAATTAACATAGCAAATAGATTTTACTTATACATCCTCTTTTATAGGTCTTACATATTTATCCAAATGAAATCTATTTTCATATTGCCTGAGGTTCTCTTTGCTATGTCAAGTCCATTTGCTTAGAAATACAATTTTCTAAGAATATTCTGTAAATATTAAGCTTATACATTAAGCATCTATATGTATAAATATGTGCATATAACTATATCTATTGTTTTGTTATTAGCAGGATTGGCTATCCTGAGTCTCTATCCAATATGTCCAAATCTACAATACAGTTAATGTATTCAAATAAAAATTATGACAGCAAAGAGAGAAACTGGTCGACCAATTCTGATATAACCCCTTTCCTCTAGCTACAAATTCAAATACATTTAAAATGCATTTTCTCCTAAATCACGCGTTTCTTTTTAAAAATTATTTTAAATCATTATATTGGGGGTTCTTACAGCCCTTATCACAATTCATACATACATCCATTGCGTCAAGCACATTTGTACATATGCTGCCATCATCATTTCAAAACATTTTCTTTCTATTTGAGCCCTTGGTATCAGCTCATTTCTCCCCCTCCCCCCACCCCTCTCATGAACCCTTGATTATTTATAAATTATTTTTTTCATGCCTTACACCAACACTGTCTCCCTTCACCCACTTTTCTGTTGTTTGTCCCCTGAGGGCAGGGTATATGTAGATCCTGCTGATCAGTTCCCCATTTCTCCCCCCACCTTCCCCTTCCCCTCCTGGCACGGGTACTATCATTATTGGTCCTGGGGGGTTTATCTGTCCTGGATTCCCTGTGATGCGAGTGTACATGCTGTGGTCTGGCCGGATTTGTAAAATAGAATTGGAGAGAAAGCATTAAAGAACTAGGGGAAAGGTGTATGTTTCGTTGGTGCACACACGTGTTACTATGTCTTTTTGTGGTTGTTCTTATTTGGGATGTCTTCAACAAATCCCCCTCATCTGGTTCAGTCCCACATCTTTCTTGAGCTCTCCCACCAACTATTCCAGTCCATAATGACCTCTTCTTTCTCTAAACTGTACTTATACTTAGTAATACGAGGGGGTACCCCGCAAAAAAAACCCAGAATAGCACTGAGCAGAACAGAGCTTTTGTAGTACACAATTTTCCCCACTAGGTAAGCACTGACAAGTTGATCTGAGTTAGTGCACCCAGTGGTGCCACCTGGGAAGGTTCTTTCTGGTCACAGTGAATGATTTTGTAAAAGTTGTTTAGCTCGAACCTTGTGCAGTTGTTAAATTGTTTCCTGGTTGGGAAAAACTGCTGCAGAAACTGTTGTGATGTTGAACACAGCTTACAAACACAGCTTTATGGGGAAAACTCAAGTGTACAAGTGGTTTTCTCATTTCAAAAGCTGTGAAATGTTGATTGATGACAAACCTCATTCTGGATGTCCATCAACTTCCCAAATGGATGAAAGCGTCGACTCATGGTGCATTTGGAGTTTGTTCCACCAAGTCAGACTGTTAATCAAGCTTTCTATTTAGAGCAGCGGTTGTCAACCTGCGGGTCACGACCCCTTTGGGGGAGTCAAACAACCCTTTCACAGGGATTGCCCCATTCATACCAGTAGCAAAATTACAGTGATGAAGTAGCACAAAAGTAATTTTATGGGGGTTCACCACAACATGAGGAACTGTATTAAAGGGTTGTGACATTAGGAAGGTTGAGAGTCACCGATTTAGAGGTTCTCAAAAGATAGCATAAAAGCGTGGGACACAAAAGCACTGCTTTGTGGCAGGTGGGGGGACTGGTTTTGCCACCACAGCAATGCACCTGCTCATGTAGCCATCTCAGTGTGCCAGTTTTGGGCCAACAAACAGCATGTCTCTCTCTTGAACCACACACTTTACTCACCTGACCTTGCTCCATGCGACCTCTTTTTGTTTCTGCAAATGCAAAGGAATGTGATAGGACAATGATTTGACAATGTAGAAGAGGTGAAGAAAGAAACAAGGGAGGTGCTATTAGCCACAGATGAGTTTGTTTCCAAGAATGGAATCGCAACAATGTATTAAGTGTAATGGAGAATACTTTGAAGGTGATTAATGTTGTTTTGTAAAAAAATTTAAATACACAGCTTTGAAAAAAACAAATTGAGGTTTATTTTTATTGGGGGGGGGTACCCCCTCCTATATCATTTAGCATTTTAACTCTATGGTAATGACATTTACTCATACCCCTACAGAGTAGGAGCTATTTGACAGCAGAACCTTTCATATACATTTTCTTATCATTATCAAAATACTCAGCAGGTAAGTATCCAATACTTAGTAATCACCAAATCCTTCATGATCCCTCCATGCAAGAGACCTGGGTTTGATTACTGAACAATGTGCCTCACGTTCAAGTTCAGCCATCACAAGTCTACCCCTGGAGGCACATGCAGAGCTTCTACACTAAGACAGACTAGAAAGAGGCCTGGTTATCTGCAGTAACAATCTCTCTCTTTTCTATACAATTCTAACACAGCTGACTGTCAAACTTCTAAGCAAGCAATAGCAAAAAGTACAGAACGCGGAACTAGGATTCCCTTATGAAAAAACTTAACTAAAACTCAGTCATCAAAGTCAATTCCGATTTATGGTGACCATATAGGGTCCCAAGGCTGTAATTATTTATGGGGATAGAAAGCCTCTTCTTCATGTAGATTTCCTAGTGGTTTTGAACTCTGACCTAGCAGTTAGCAGTGCATAATCCACTACACTACCTGCCGCCCTTCAGGATTCCTTTTGACAAGAACAATAACCATGTAGCAGTCTGAGATTATTCCTGTTCTGCATAAGGAAAGGCTAAAATTTATCATCTCAGTCCCCCTGGGGAAAATCAATGTCTTACAGCATTCAAAAGTGACAACTATATAACCCCAGTTATGAAGAAGCATTATCAAAAGAAATCACAAAAATTAGATTGTGGTGATGACTTTACACCTCTATAAATATGCTAGAATTTATTGACTTGTGAACTTTGCAGTAAAATTTAAAGCCGTCAGTAAAATATGCAGTAATTTGAAAACATGGCCATCTAAAATGCTAATTAAAAAAGAACAAGAATTGGAAAAAAAAAACCAAAAACACCCTGGTAGACCTTAAAGTGACAAAGTTTGAAGAGCTTAGAGTGACAATGTTCTAGAAATGATTTCTAGAATAACTCACAGTCAATGGTTTCCAAGATGGCAGCTCTGTGAGAAAAACGCAGGCTGCTAACTACCAGGTCATTAGTTCGAGTCCACCAGTTGCTCCTCAGGAGAGAAATATGGCTACCTGCTCCTGTAGACATTTAAAGTTTGGGAAACTCTCTATAGGGTTGTTATGAATCATAATTGACTCAGCAGTGGGTTTTGTTTTTTAAAGTCCGAGGGTTAAAAACCAGACTCAGTAATACACTGGTCTTAAGTCTCCTTCCAAACTTGCTGCCATCAAGTTGGTTCCAACCACAGCGATCTTACAGGACAGAGAACTGCCCCCTTGGGTTTCCGAGGCTGTAATCACCTTTCTCCTGCGAGTGACTGGTGGTTTCAAACTGCTGACCTTAAGTTTAACAGCCCAATACACCACCAGGAAACTTAAAATAGTGACTACTGTCCTACTGGCTAGCTACACTCAGAGCAGAAAGGTAGCTCAGAAGATGATGGTGACTGCTCTATGGGGCTGCAAAGGGGTCATCTAATAGATTTTCTCAAAGGATCCAGGATGATCACAGGACTTAGAAAGAAATTTTAAGAAAACGGAAAACAGTGTTGGTGAGAAAATGTCTGGGAAAGTTGCAGCAAAGAGTGCTTCCCCATCACAACAATGCACCTGCAAATTTTTCAAAGGTAGCAAAGGGCTGCCCCATGAGGATTTCATTGGGAAGCCTTACTGCATCCCTCACGCTGCCCTGACCTGGCCCTGCAGA